ACAGATAACCATATCACCATCTCTCTTTTTATTAGATTTTGCTTTTTCTATTGAGGTTTAATGTGCTAACTCCAAATCTCTCTCAAGTTCATCTATTCAGTATTCCTATGTCAAAGAAAACTCTGATGGAGTGTTGGTGGACATGTTATTAAAATATTGGTTTGGTTTTACTTATGTACCTAATGTTTTTAATTATTTTTGTTTGAAATGCACCAGGTTACTCGATGAAATACGATATCATTATACAACCATTTAAACAAAGGCAGTTAGACTGCAGTATCCAGTACAATGCAGGAGTACGTGTTTGTTATGAATAAGAGGTATGTAAACAGTTCTCATACATACACGATAAACTACAGCTGCGCATAAAATACTCGACGTAGACGTAAACTCTTAAAGTTTTACGGAGCATCGTCACGTCCGCTCGCGAACGCAGCCAAACATCGTCTGAACGCAACAAAAACACGTGGGGAACTTCACTACGAGGGGCGGGGCTTAGACCAACACCCAGCCAATCAACAACTCAGATTCATCGTTTCTTTCGCTTTAACGTAATGCTGTCTCGTTCCAATTCGTAGATTACCGTAGTCGATCCTTCATACTGAAGTATGATTTTTTTATAATCATTTTAAAGTTGGCAAATATGGTGGAGTCCGCAGTTTGTGTTTAAATGTTGCCAAATTGTATGTAAGTGTGTTTGTGTTACGGTCGCGAGCTTCTTATGAGATAAACTTTTATTAAATGCTCTTGTTTTATAGAGATACTCATTTTTATTTGGCTTTTGTTCCGTGAGCTTTTGTTCGGAGGATAATGCTGTTTCATTTTTCATGTTCTTTAATTGGCTTTTATTTCTTTAATAGCCTATTGCCATCTACAAATCAAATGTGAAATCTCTTAAAATTAGTAGAAATTACATTTACTGTAAATACTTGTAAACTAAATAGTTATATTTAATAAAATTCAATTACCAATTAGTCTTAACATCTATGTAAAGTTCTGGTTCCTGATAATTACCGATGTAGTCATAAATATTATATTAACGACTTTCTACATCAGTCAATTTGTATTAGAATCGCAATAAATCATACGGCAATTAATAGACAGTTCAATTATCTGGCAGGTACACATATGGAGACGACTATAATATGATCGGAACCAGTTTTTAAGAATGAAAACAAATTATCATAGAAGTGTAACGGAGTTAGCAATCAAACATAGTTTACTAAACATCTGTATGTGATGATTAAAACTTTTTGCAAGTGTTACCAACTTTTATAATTCTTTTTTCAGTTTGGGTGAACTCAAAATGAAGTCGATTTTGAACTGCATTCAGAAATATATACAAAAGTGTAATTAAAGTATAGTATACATAGTTAGTAAGGAAAATTCAGTATTTGTGGTTTCTACTAAATAGGCAAGTTTTTTTTTTATATTCAATCAATGAGTGGGCAGTTTTAATTGACATAACATTACGCTTTTTATCCCCGAAAGGATAGTAAGTGGTGCACATTATGGTACTTAATGACACAATGACACCTACTTTTTACTATTTATGTTATAATAGGGGGTGAGCCTATTGCCATATATTCAGACTCTGTGCTATTAATGAGATTTTTTTTAACAACCCACTTATACTTATCCCGGGAATCGGACCCGAGACTCCTTGCCAAACAGTCACACTTGTGACCACGCGGCCAAAGAGGTGTAGCCACACTAGCCATAGCACAAGCTACAAGGATTTAGACCATCGTTTAACAGAAACCAAGAAGCAGACAGCTCTGAAAAGAGCCACACTAGCCATAGCACAAGCTACAGAGGCAATTTATTTAATAATTTTAAGATCTAATCAGAAAGTGAGAAGAACTTGATTAGTACATTTACAATGATACTAATATAAAAGAACGGTTTATGAACGAATACATTTCGTAACAGTAAACGTTTCATATTCAACACATTCATTCATCCAAACGTTGTGAGGAAATGACACTTTATTACTAAAACGTTTATACCAAACTTCCTACTGATTAACATAAAATCTAATTAAAGAAATATATTAACTAATTGATGACATAAAAATTAACCTTAATCTAAATTGTACATTAGTGACGGTGCTGTAAATATTGTCCGTCATAAATATCGGACCAATTTATATTTCAACTCCATAAATACCTTTTATTATACTTAGTTCAATGTATTTGCATCTTTAACTGTAAGGGTTTAAAGTTTAGTTTCGGTTGTGTGGATGTAGTGCGAGGTGTGTAATAGGCAGATGATAAAAGACCGACAAAGCAAAGGTGTCGGCTAATTGATGCGGTGAGAAGGAAACCGGGCCGAGACGGGAACACGCGGTCACACTCACAGCGGGGAGCGGGAGCGAGGAGCGGACTGACATAGTGAGGCGTGGGACGCAGGAATTAGAAGCACTTATACTTGTTATGATAAAAAAAAATATATTGATCCTGCTCAACGTCGTTTACTAGTACCTAAACTATCTAAATGTCTCGTTATCTATGTTCTGTAGGAGTTTGGCCACTATGCCATCTGGTCGTACGTGAACATATTTTTATTACAACTCGGTAGTTATTCATAGTTATAAGTACTCGCGATTTATTGTGAGCACAGTTTGAATTGACGTGATGATTAAATAAATGAAAACCTTCAAGTTCTGATTAAATTAAAGTTTAGATCAATTTCAAGGTACAGATAACAAATTTGAAGACACAACTTTAGATATATTTTTAAGTATCTCGCTGTTACTGGCACCCTGTCCTCAATTCCTGTATTGTATGACATCCGGTGTGGACAATACTGCGGACCGCCATTGTATGCTCACAGGCTGGTCCACTGCCCACTGCCCAGCATCACTTGTGGGCCAACACACGGAGATATTAATCTCATTGTGACGGTTAAACTTTATAACTCGCTGTTTTTACTTGTATCAAGGACAAGACGTGTTTGGATACAAGCGATTAGTGGTATTCATGAATTCAAAAAATGTTCTTCAGGAGACTGACGTACATTTTTTGGACTGGTTATTGTAATTGCGGGGATAATCAATAATTTGAAAAAATATACCTGCATGTATTATACTTAATGCATGCTACACCTATGTAAGTACCGCATTGGTAGTATCATATTACTACCTAATTATATTAGATGCACGATGATCCATTTTTTTTGAATTTGTATGTAATAAAAAAAAAATCATATAGGTATGATGGGCCGACGTTTAATCCCTATCTCGCCTGGTGGTGAGCGATGCTGCGGTCTACGAGGGAACTTATTAAATGTAAATGTTATTATTAGATGTAAAATATTAACTAAAAAGTATAATTTATGTTTTTGTGTAGGAAGTAAAATTGTGTTAACAAAGTGCATAGATACCATATACGAACATAAATTCCTGATCAATTTCGAAATAATTTCCCATGCACTCTTATCTTAAGTGGTCCCACCTCGAGTGGCCAAGAAAACATCTGTCATTTTAAAACAACATTATTTTTTATTTCTATTCCAAGTCAAAATTCACACATATAATTCAGCAAACAACTAATTTTGTTGGTGGTACAGGTACGAAAAATTACACCGACAAAATTACATACGTTATCTACCTATATATACATAATATGCAGTATAAAATATTGTAGTTAAAAATAAACGTTTTTAATATGTGTTACTAATAAAAACTTAAAATTTCAAATACATTAGAGTAATATCCCCAAAAAGTTAAATTGTAACTGAACGATAACTGATTAGAAAATAATAGGACTAAAAAAATACCAACCCACATCCTGTGAGCTGCGCCAGCGCATCCTGCGCAGGCGAATCCGATTACATAAGACTAGTTTAAAAACCGTTTATTGTTCCGCCATCTTTATTGGGCACCCTCATTATTGAGGGATTTAAAAAACGAATTATAAAAGTAGAAGTGTGGCTTTGTGATGTGTTTTTGATTGTGTCTGTGTGTGTGTGTTTGTGTGTGCGTGTCATTGTTGTGTGATATGATCGGTTATTTTTAACGTAATTGTAGATAATTGCATTATTTAGGGGAAACTATTTGTGGTTTTTCGATTGTTGCTGAAATTGGCTTGAGTTTGTAAAGAATTAAATAAATATACAATTATTGTTAAATAAAACATTCTGTATACACCTATTTTATTACATGAAATATTATGAAAATAGCATTAGGTAGGTATAGGTTTGTTAAAATATCTTTCCATTGGTCATTTAGACTTTTAAAGACAATCAACAAGAGGTTTTCCACTTTTGAACTTAAAATATTGTATTTATTATTTTGAATATTGTTAAAATTAATAAGTAACTGTTTCACATAATATTTGCTTGCAGAATTTAATAACAATTAGGACCGAAACTGCAAAAAATCTGTCTTGTCAGTAATTTCTCACAACTCTATTGAAAAAGCTATCTCGAGTGTATAATAACCGAGGCGACAAGCAATTAATCAAGTCGAATATATATACGACTTGTACCACTCGCACTGCTGTCCCTCAGCAGATGTCTCTAATTCTATGGGTGTTTTATTTCTTAACAAATCGAGTGCCGTGTCAATTAATATAATATTTGTCACATAAATAACCGGAGATCCTTCCGCTATTATCCGAACGCATAAACTCTGCCATTCCAGCTTATTATTCGTGGCACAATAGTTTTTAGCGGGCGCGGGGCGCGCGGCGCGAGGGGCAGGGGAGGGGGGGCGGCCCGCAAAAACTGCACCCGACTTAATTATAAAGAGACAAGAAGCGCCATTAAATAGCGATTCGTTAAATCTACGCTCTCGTGTTAACACCACACGTGCTCTGTCCCGCTCGCTCGTATATCGATCAGAGCGAGACGCACGTAGGTTTGGGGCGACAGCTCGGTTTAGGGGCGGCGTCCGCGATATAAGGTTTAGATTGACTGGGCGGCGTTCTCTATTCACGTTTTTTTCTGTTTGCGAGCAAAAGCGTCGGTGAGAGCTTTTCATTTGGTGTCGGGTCGCGCGAGCGGGCGCACGCATTGCTCTCTGGAGTGCAATGACCGAGTGACGTCCATCGGACTTGTGTGTATATTGTATATGCAGTGAACTGTACCGAGATGTCGGAGTTGCGTGGTTCGCCGCCCTTGTCCCGTGGGCTCGAGAACGGTTTCGGGGCTCCGCTGGCGGCGCTGAGCTCGCTGGCCGAGGCGCCTCCTCCGGCGCCGAACCCTCACGGCATCGACCATATCTTATCTCGTCCGACGGTGGGCAGCAACGTGGGTGCCGGTCTTCTCGCGCCGCGGTTGTCGCTGGCGGCGGCGGCGGCTGGCATGGCGCACTACCTGCAGCACAAGCCGCTCTACTGGCCTGGCTTCCAGGGCCTCGTCTCCAACCCCATGGCGTGGCGAGAGCGCCTGCAGTCCAGTGAGTAACAACACATACTTTGTTTCTTACATCTTAAGAGTCGAATCTAGTTGGAACCTTCTTACCTGCTTCTCAAATATCTACATCATTCGTGTGACAGGTTCATAAACTTATATGACTGTCATGAGTATTGGCTGAATGTCTTTCAATGATTTTGATATTTTGGAAGTCACTACAATATCGCTGAAATATTTATCGATTGCAACAATGATCTACAGGTGGAACACAGAGATATTATATCACGAACGTATATGATTTGATAAAACTATATCAGCATAATAATAAATGTGTGTACCTATGTATGTTAAAATACATCATCAATATACATGAAGTAAACAAAAAACAAGTTAAATACGGAACCTTATTGGATGGTTAATTAAAGAGTTTTTATTGAATTTGTACACAAATAACGAATGAAGTCAGTAGTCGTATAAAAGACATCAACGCGTCGCGCTTCATTACGATATAATGACTGCTGCTAATGACGGACGAATTAGTTTTTTAAATTAATTATCTTACATTTTAATAAGTACTGGTGAATAAATTATAAACGAGTTAGTGAGGTTTTATTTAAATATCGCCGGCAATAAATGTGTGTGCTACAATACGACGGGTATCATTTTATAGAAAAAAAACGTGTCCTTTTAGATAGACGAGATGGTCAATAAAATCTAATACAATGTAATAACTTTGTTTAAACATTAGTAATTAATTGGTGCCGTTGTATTATTATTGTATATTTTTTATACGAATTAGGTATCATTTAAACAGGACAAATAATAATATTTTCAAAGTAGCAGTAGGTACAATGGTAGAACAAAATCTTATAACATTATCGTAAGCAATAAATATGTTAATCCTAACAACTTTAAACTATATTTTTAACAATATTATAATATCCGATATTGTACCAACTCATAATAAACCCAAAACCATAGAAACCAAATCTTAGCTCGTAACAATATCAATACAAGCCACAACACAACCGGAAGGACGTCACGAAGGCTCCGTTAGTTCCGAGTTCCGGTGGCCGTCGGCCTTGTACCGTCGGCCCTCGGCGGACGTTTATAGCCCTAGGGCCGTTTGTGGCCGTTTGTAACCGTTCCTTCGACATTAAGGCTTTGTACACGTACGCCTGAACAGCGCCTGAAATAATTCACTCCCTCGTTACTGAAGATTAAGGCGAATGGAGGCTTTTGATTTTTGATACGAGCGCATAAAATGTACGTTGGAAGATTTTGGGGTTATTTTATTAGCTTTTATATTGAATATTGTGTTTATTGTTTAAGTTTAGTTTTATGCGGAGCTTAATATAAACTTCAATTGAAATTCCAATATAGAATATTATAAAAATTTGTAAGGGTAACAAATCTTCTCAGTAAATAGATATATAATTGTTGCTTGACAAACTATACTATCTTTAAGGCAAAGAAAAAGAGTCATGACTACACTTATTAATCGATTGTAACAGACTATTATTAAAGAATAGCAAGTTATTTGTCTTTTTGTTTATCTACTCATCCAATCACCATGTTTTACATGTATAGGTATAGTTCAAGCGGAAAGTCGTGTGTCAAAATGTTTAATATAGAAATACTATTTTTTACATGCATTCACATTCGAAAATGTCGGGTTTTCCCATTACTGAATGTTCATTAACTGAATAAGTCAAGACATATCGGTAATTATGTAGATTTGGAAATAATTGAGAAGTGTTTTATTGTATAATACGAAGAAAACTGTTTTTATATTAATTGTATAATTATATTTATTTTTAGTATTTATTTCCATATGTATATATGTATAAAAATAAGGAAATAAATAAATATGTACAATTTAAACTGTCAAATACTAAGCGGTCACCGGTGACCGCAACCTATTGTTCTATAATTGTGTCTACAAAACCGGTACTCGACGAGTTAAATAAACTAAAACTAATGGAGACATTTAAAGAAAAGAACACTAAAAATAACTATTTAGTTTACAGAGAGCTTAATTTTATATAACCACTGTTAAATAAAATCAAGGGATGAAACTATCGACTGTAACTTTGTATAAACATATTGGCACGAGACGATACGTTAGCTTACACTAAAATTGCATGTTTTAATAACGTTATAATTGCGAACAGAAAAAAAGCCTTTTAGAAAACAGATCACTAAGTTATAAGCGAGAATAAAATGCACTAAAAAAAATTAACCGACGCTCCTTATTGATATGACTTATTTAAAACACCCAATAACATTATAAATTCGATATAAATTACAAGAAGGTTTGGAATGTATCGATCGAAAGATTGTAACAAACATATCGACAGTAATTTGTTCTTCGGTATTAATGAATGCGTGTGCGCAGCGAACCGATTGATTTTTACACGACATAATGCTCAATGATCGCAGTGTATTGAATGTTATTCAGTAAACGACTTGATAAAGGCTCTTGTAAGCCGGTTATGTATTGCATATTTTGTTTTATCGGAATGTCATTTTTGCGTTTTTATTTATTGGACAAGTAAAGGGCAGAAGTACAACGTCTCTCTTTGTTAATTTTGTAAATTGTTTTAGGGACATGGCTTGTTTGATTTACTTGGTTACGGACTGTAGGTAGGGTATTATTTTAATAGCAACCAAAGCATATGATAGGTTAGTTGATTGATAGCAATAAGTATAGTTTATGGAATGATAAATATTGTTATTTTTTTCATTTAGTAAGGAGTATTCATCCACGTGGATATGTCAATTCCATTGTACCTTATACTCTATTTGCACGTCGCGGAGAACCTAACGGGTAACCGGGGCTCCGGCTCGACGTGCAGGAGAAGGAACGGGGTGGGTTTTATTCAGTTAGAGTCTGACACTCCCTTCCGCCCTCACCCAGGCGGGAGCAGTCATTCGATGATTTTCCCCCCTTAAAAAAAAATACTCTATTTGCACAAAATTATTAAACGCCTTATTGCTAAAATTTTATAAAAAAATACTTATGCCTATACGAAGGGGAATTACTGCCTAGAACTTTTAATTACACTGATAAATATATCTTTCTAACTGCCTATTGGAATTTCCATCAATCAATATAGACCTATAAATATATCTGAATATTTTTTATAAAATAAATTGCCACCAAATTGTATTATGGCTTTGTCACATAAACCAGATTTAATCGTCGGCGAATTTCCTTCATCTATCGACTCTAATTAGGGATTATTTAACTAAATCGTCATTTCAAAGTCTTACGTAAATGAAATCACAGGAAATATGACAATTTTTCAAATAAATGTGATTGTAAAAGAGATCAGTTTCAAAAGGCAGGAGTTTGTGAGTTATTGTTAATGTGTGGGTGTGACATTATGTCGGTAATCATCAATGAACTGACGACTGGTTTAGGAAGATATCTTGTCATTCAGTTTCGTATCAATATAATGTGCCGATCGAGTAATTTGTTGGTTGTCGTCGTTTTAGAGGTTGTAGAATTTTTTAAATTAAAATTTACTTTTACTGGCCCTTTTTCCGGAAATATTTCATAGTTGTAAGTATGTACAATAACAGTTAAATTACAGATACAACATTTTTAGTTAACGTTAAATTATGTCACAACAACTAGAGGTCGAAATAAATAAATATTTAGTAAGAAACCTACAAACACATTCATATCACATCAACAGCCGATAAGTGGTCGCTGCTGACCAAAGGCCTCTTCTCACACGGAGATGGTGTGAGCGTTAATCACCACGGTTACTCAATGCGAGTTGGCAGGTTGTTGGTAAGAAACATTTATAAAGAAAGTAGGCGAAACTAACCCACGAACCAATCTGGCTTCTTCATTCTTCTATTAACTACATCTACCAAACCCACAATGGAACACACCCAAACCAGAAGCAAGCTGTTGAGCATGTTCAAGTAATATCATAAAATAAAACAGCGTCACGTCGCTACACGAGTACACGTCACCATCACGCCTCCTTAATGAGGGGAACGACTGTTCTTACACGAAACAAGCTGTTTCATTAACAGTGATAAATATCTGTATTCGAAACCGAATGTATCGGATTTCCGATACAAAATATGTAGAACCGGATCCGGTATGAATGTTTCGGATTTGGAAGGAGTCTAGAGTGGACTTGTTATAATTGCCTTCTGATTAATATTTACTTTGTATTTAATAAATTTGAAATCTGTGACTGGCAGTACACGAAACTGATATTTTCATTCACGCTTTACGCTGTAGGAACTGTTTTCATCGAGACGGATGATTTTTTGATGCATTTATTTATTATTTAGTTCTGTATACTTAAATGTAAATAGACAATCATTCTTGTTTGTAGTTACATAAAATATTTATTTGTTTATCCGTATCCAGATCCGAAATGTTATATCCATAATATAATTTGTTAATTAATTGTTATAAGTTGTGCGATTGATCCTTGTATGGCCGACAATCGATACTGTTGTGTTGAGCCCGAGTATACGATGATACGCCATAATCTCCACACTCGAGATAACCGCGTGTCGGTCGTTTGCTGCAATTCTGTAATGATAACTTGTTAAATGAGAATATTTATACTTTACTCATTGTTTTATGTGTTGGGGAATTTACGTATTATTTTATAGATTTTGAAATCAGAACGATTTTTATTTGTTTTTCTGTAAAATCGTACTCAATTTCTCGTGTTAATGAGTTGTTCATAAACATATGCGTCATAATTACTTTATTAAACAAATGATTGTTTGATTTTCCCTTAAATTTTTAATCATGTACTCAATAAACAGAACAATAATTCGACGAACGATAACAAGAGAAGTAGGTACAGTCATACCACAAAATTATCGCAACATTTGACACGTTGTTCATTACAGTTGCACCATAAAAGCAATTCGTGGGATCACTATACTGACTGCCTCAATCAATTATATTATTATTGATAAACTGGCAAACTTTCCTAAGCCTTCATATCAGTTTTATTAAAAACACACAAAATATAATAACATTTGATGTCGCTGCGT